TAGATAGGAGGTCGATAAAAGAATGATATTTTATGGATATGGCTCTGTAGGCTCTATAAATTTCCTCGTCAAAAATATTGCGGTATAAATTCGGGTCGCGGAGATAATATACGAGCAAACTAGATCCAGGCTCCTGCCAACTTTACTTAGGGAACGCAAGATATGAGGAGTGGGTGAACATTCTGTTCAAGAGAGAAATCCCACTCTACTTGGGATCAAACTCTGGCGCTTCAGACCGGAGGCCATTAATTTATTACCTGAGCTAAAATTAGCCTAATAATGGTAATGATATTCATGATGTGTTGATGACGACAATTATAATGATTATATTATTAATATTAATAATATTAATAACAACAACAAAGAATATTCACAGAGTCTGTATTGGTAATGGTGTTGCGGTATAACTGCTTGACCCCACCCCCAATTCCTTAGGTGCAGCCACCAAAACAATTGAAAGTAAGGACTATAATAAGAACCTAATTCGCCTCTTGTAACAAGGGCTTTAAATGGGAAGAGAATTATAATAAAAGGTAATAGTGTCGTTTCCTTTTCGTCCTATAAAACCACATCGGGACCTCTAAAACCTAAACATAAAACCAACTTCCTCCATCCACTCACAGGCAAGTTCAGTTGGTTTTAGAAAGCCACTTACTTAACTGAATTGTTCCGCGTCTCTTTGCCCTCCCACACGCTCTCTATACGCTCCATACCCATTCTCCTAATGTGATGTGCTACTCTTTACTAGAAAACCCTATTTGAAGTTACACATGTTCTTGCCTCAAGCTAGTTCAGGATGGAACACGCGATTTCCTCCCTAAACAAAATACAAAAGCACTCTAAGAATTTCCTTAAGAACCGTGACGCTCCAGAAAATTAAATTGTGTTTGTATAACAGACTTGTGATTACTTAGAAATTATTAGAATGTTTAGAAATGTTTTGTTGAGAATTATATGAAGTACATAATATATGAGGTTCCCACAACAGTGGTTAACAAGATTTTTATCATCTGTTATATAAGGTTGTGGTTAAATTTCAACGGAGTACGCAGTGTTGTATCTCAGAAGATAGAAGTTTTCTTTATGAAATACAACAGAAGAATTCCATATTCAGTTATGTGAAATTTATGAAAACACTGATATGTCTCAGTAAACACAGTTTTCGAGTTTAGTTTTGAGGGAAGTTTGAAAATAAGAAGGAAATCTACTTTTTGTATACCTTTTTGTATGCCTTTGTATACCTTTTGTATGCCCTTTGTATAAAATAAGTGTGGCGTTTCTTCTGAATATCATTAAGACAGCTTAAAAGGTAAAACTTTCCTTGTACTTAACTAATTAAACGCTACGCCATGAAGCCGTATGAGGGAGTTGATGTATGTATCCAATTATTCTTAACTTAGGTACAAATGGAATCGAGTGGTCAGCTCCACGCCTCGGCCGTTTTACACCCGGAGGTAGACCTCCGCCCTTACGTAATGGATAGGAAGCTGATTATGCCCCAAAACCGGTCTGGACGTGGGGAAGAGAAAATATTACCTTTACGGGGACTCGAACTCCAAGTCTTCGGCCTTCCAGCCTGTAGTCAGTGTCTATACCGACTGCGTTATCCCGGTTCCTTTCATTAGAACAGGAATATAAGTACTTAGCAGGCCAATGCAGGCCACACTGTTTGTTTGTTACACCAGATTATGTAAAACACACATACGCTAGACATACAAAGATGGAGAAGAAGAAGCCAAGAAACAGACGACGGAGGTTCTATTCTTCCTTCTGCTAGAAGGGGCTGTGTCGCTTGAAGTGACCATTGGGACGACCGCTTTGATGTCGACGTTGGACCGGTCTGCACGACATGGAATTCCCATTACTACTTATCAGAACGGTTCTAGCGGTGTAATTAAAAGGTTTCATGTTTGTTTCGAGAAGCCAGCAGCGCACTCACGCACACGAACACACACGTCTTGCCTGTTTGTTAACTCCAATAGTTATTCTGTGTGTGAGTGAGACTGTGGGTTGGTTCACATTTCCAGCCTGTTAGAAGAGACATGTCATCAAAGCACCTGAGGTCGCTTAGTAACAATTTGATTCTGACAGGAACAACAGCAAGAAAAGTAGACAAACTGACTTTAATTGTTTGCATATTATACCTGTAAAAATTATTCTGAAGGATAACGGGTTATATTCATTTCTATACAGAGCGCAACTAGAATGTACGGATGTATTTTGTGCTCAAGTTGCACATACCAAAACAAGAAAAGGTGCTTATATCAACATGTGTCCGTAAAATTTAATTTGTTAGTTACGGCCGATAGAATATTGTACATGCATGATGGCGCTCAGCCGTGCCGTGCGAGATGTTTTTAATAACACATATCATGACCGATGGACAGGTAGAGGAGGACCCACTGCATGGCCTCCACGATCCACGTCAGATTTGAAGCCTCTGGTTTTAACTTGTGAGGACACCTGAATACCCCTGTGTCTGTTGACAACGAGGAGGCACTTCACCACTGCACTGTGCGAGCCTGCAGACTATCCGCAACTGCCCCGACATCTCTGAACGGATGCGGCAGTCCAAGATGAGACGTGTTGAGACATGTATTGAAACACATGGAGGTCATTTTGAGCATTTATTTATTTCTGCTATAACTCACAAATTAAATATTTCCGGGTACATGTTAATATGGACAGTTTCTTGTGTTGGGTTGTGGAACTCATGTCCAAATTTTTCCGCTCCTTTCAGTTACACTCTGTATTCTGCAAAAATATTTCTTCAGTTATATTCTCTAATACCTTGTATGATTCAAAGTCACTGAAAGGAGCGTGCCTTCCATCGAAATCCGACGCTATGTGGTTCTAAGTGAGACTTAAACAACGTCATTCACCATGCTAAGGATCAATTGATCAACCCAAAAATAAATAAAATTAATCCCTGAAAGCAATTTTCTGCCTCCGGATTAAAAAGAAATTAAACTTAGGTCTTTATACTATGACAATGAATGTGTTCTGGGGATGTAAAGCCCTGTAGTCTGGAAAAAATTAACCGAATTTTCAGAGGAACATTCTGCTTTCGTCTTCAATGTATAAGAGTTTACTGTCTTGTGGGATGTGACGCCGTATAGTCGAGTATATATTTATTAACGTTTCGGAGAAACAATCCGCCGAGGGCCGAAAAAACCAAAATGAATCTCGCCGACAATATTTTATAACGTTCGAATATAAACTGTTCGCGGTTTGCGGATATTGCATGCAGACGAAAGGTCAGATTTGTAGACTGACATGACCTCCCCTTTATGAGCACATCCCACGAACGTCTTGCAATGAACAATTCGAGACGTACTGCGAAACAGTAGCTTCAATTATTTTTAGGGTCTGAGGTTGTCACAGCTGTGGTTACGAAGAGTTCTGTCTTCTGGGATATACCGCCGTGTTGTCTGTTGACAATCAACTGACATTTCGAAAGAACATATCTCCTCAAACTTCAGTGTCAAACAGTGAGTCAAGCATGGAACCAGCAAGCAGAGTCATGGAAGCAAAGTATTTTCCGAAACGTCGGTTGAATTTCAAGGGACCATATGCCGTTATATTCAAGAATATGGAATTCTTTAATCCTTTTGCTCACAGCACCGTAACCCGTAACAGATGCAGCCACAAATGCGGTAAGCGAACGGGATTATACGGCTGAAGTCAGCTGGCCATTAGGCGTCACAATAATGTAATTCATAACAGAGACTGTAAGAGATAGCTATAGAACGGCCTTCATGTTGAAAAAAGTCTTTTATTTCATCTGGAAATAACCTGTAATGAAAGTGTCTCGTATTTGCTAGTTTGCAGAAAATGGTAATGACATTTTTGTGCTGGATTTCGTCAGAATCCAAGCCAAACATTTCTGTTGGTATGTCTGGGATAACGGCGACGTTGTTGTGGAATTTGTTCCCGTCACAAGCAATCTGTGAAGCTGGATTCTATCTGCAAAGAATTAGAATCCTGCATATTTTATAGTGCTCCCAGGTTTACGGAAAGCCCTTACAGTTATGATCTTACGATATTGGTCACCGCATTGAAGTAAGTTCCGGCCACGAGCTGGTGGTCTTACAGAATGTGTATTGGTAAAGGTTTTACGGTGGTGATTTCAATAGTACCACAGGCCAGTTTTAAATTATATACAGGTTTATATGTAGACATAATGGAAGGCTTTATGTCGTCCGATAGCATGTCCCTTCTATGAACCTGCTTAACGAGTTTCTATGAAATTTGACTAGTTGAGACTTGTAAATCAATCTTTGGATAGATAATTTAATTATGTTAAATATCAGTCGATTTCGATAAAGTGGCTATAAAGATGCTGTATTAATTTAATTGTGTTAGCCTACAATTTCCTCAGTAACAACACATGAGAGTAAGTAATTAACCCAGTGGAACAGAAGGTAACAGCCATTTAACTACTGGAGGAAGTCACTGTCTTGTATGGATCTCGAAGGTTGCTTGCCATGATCACAAGGATTTGCCATTGGACTCCATCACGAGTCAGTTGCGTATAGTGGGTCAACTTACGAAAATCAAAATAATGCAATGTTTTAGACACATGAAGTATTATCTTGGTTGCAAACGTAACTGAATGCTGATGGCTGTACGAATATTTAATGAACATTTCTGGTCCAAAAACTTCAGAACAAATTAGTAAAATAAAAAATGAAACAACTGGTTTATATCCTTAAAAATTGTGGAAGAATCGAAGAACGCGTTTGGAGAACAAATAGAGGGCCTAATCTCTTTCAGTATACAATTCTTCAATCTTATTCAAGTAAGAGATTATAGTCCTACGTACACTCCTTTCTTGTAGGAGCAAGAAATTCTCACTATAATATTAGTCTGGCTTCAGTATAAGGAGCAAAGCCTTGCGTAAGGCCATGCATTTCATTCACAAAGTAACAAATATGACAACTTTTGGTTTTTACTGACGTTAGAAGACACCCTAACACATCAAAGAAAATTTCACTTACCTCCATTTAGTGCGTCGATTTTGGAACCAAGTTTTGACTTGAGCGTCCGTCATCTTGAGCGTCTTTGCGAGCGACGCCCGCTCTGCAGACGCCAGGTATTTCTGTTTGTGGAAGCGTTTCTCTAACTCTGCGATCTGCAGGCGGGTGAAGGAAGTCCTCGGCTTCTTCCGCTTTGGGGGTGTCCTGTTCTGGTAAGGGTGTCCTATGCGCCTCGTGATGGGGAAGGTGGCTGAGAGGAGCAACAAACACCAGACGTAAGTCTCAAATCATATTTTACCCAGGATACAAGAAATAATCTGAAGACAAAATGTACCAGAAGATATACCATGCATACGTCATTTCCTACCCTACACGTAACAGGTCCTATCACAAGGCGTAAGAAACAAACTCATGTTATGACAGAATAAGGAAATATTTCCTAATCTAGGAATTGTTTGTGAACGCTGCAATAGGAACACGAGTGAAGGTATTTATGGACAGATTATTAAGATTCTTGTTTAGAAATTCCTCCAAAAATTTCAGATTAAATTTGTAATTCTACATCCACCAACGAAATTGTTCTGTAGTCAAGTGGGATACTGATATTCATAACTAACTCACTAATATAAACTAAACTACCAAATCAAAAAAAGGAGCCGGGATAACATAATCGGTATAGAAAATGGCTACGGACTGCACGGAGGAGGGGTCGGGGTGCGAGTCCAGGTAGGGTCAAGAATTTTCACTTCTACAGTCATCCAGAACGACTCTGGGGTCCTCCACCTATATAATGGGTATCGGGGGCCCTTTCCAGGGGATAAAGCGGCCGGGGTGTGAAGCTGGCCACTCACCTCCAACTAGTGCAGAGGTAAAGAAAATGTGGACCTATACATCCGCTCCCCCATACGCCTTCATGGCGTAGCTCTTAATTAGTTAAGCACAGGAAGAACTTTACCTTTTACCAAACCAAAAAATAAAGCAACTAACACCATGACACAGAGTCACTCATGAGCAGGCGCTGCTTACTATTTATAGACCACTGTAGGTCGCGGTGCAACGGCCGAAAAGGCCCACCCCTTATACATTCATACTGCTGAATAAGGTAAGGCCATTTATTTTATGCGGCCTAAATGCTCATCAGCATGTCAACAGTAGCATGACATTTGACCAAATAATAAGCCAGCTGAATCCTCTTCACATTCTTTCGTTTCAAGAAGATTCATTTAAATATTGTCCTCCTTTCCATATTTAATCTTCAAAATGACCTCTCACCTTAAAATCTTCCAGTAAGAATTTTGTATGAATTCCTCATCTATTCAGTCTCGTCTTTTTTCATTTGGCAGTCCTAACAATATGTGGCTTAAAAATTATAAAGCCCCTATAACGTGAATTCTCCATAATTCTCTAAACTTCGTTCTTGTAAGTCCAAAGGTTTTCCTCAGTGCTTCGCCCTCAAGCATTTTGAAACCGTGTTCTATTATTAAATGATGAAATGTAGACAGTGTTGGCACTAATGTGGGGAGAAATGTAACTGTAAGACTAAGGAGGTGTTTTCATGCGGATTTAGAAAAGGACGCATTCACTGAGACAAGGACAAGATTAATGTATGTAAGATTTGAGGCTTTCACGGCGGTGACTATGAAGAAAGCAGACTGCTTTTACCGGTTCTCACGGTCTCTTCGCTTGCAGATTTCTTATATTTTTCCTTCTACCCTGAAGATGGAGGCGACACGTTCCTCCGAAACGTCGGTTAACACCACATATACACGGTGCCAAATCCCAGAAGACTGCTTTCTTCAAGATTAATGTAGATTATAATACAGATCGAGCCCAAAGTCTCCTGCCCAGCGTTCGGGAGGAAAAGGAATGTCCTGCAGCTGTGTTCTGAGCACGAGAGTGCGAAACTGATGAGCATGTGCCATGGTGGGAAGTTGTGACGCTGTAACAGGAATGAAAGCGTAACCATTTCTTCTGCTGCCACTCCCTCTCTATGATGGCAACAGCTTCGCCATCTCCCTTGTGATTGGTTCCTGATGATTGCACTAATGGTTAAGTGGCGTGCAAACATCAGACGTGGAAAGAAAGATTCCATTTCAACGGTTGCCAGGCAACGTAACGACGTCTCCCCTCTTTTACTCAAGCCTCGGCCCCTCTTTTTTCGATCCATATGTAATGATATATTCCCCTCTATGCATCCTCAACTGTTCAAACTTAAAATATGCCACAAGAATTTTCTTGCTAATAGGATTTTGTCATGGAAAGAATTCAAGGTTTCACTTTAAAATAGAGATAAAATACTTAAAGGTAAAGTAAATACTGGGCTAATGTAAAACAGAATACATTATCTGTGTCATGTAGGTAGCGATTGTCACTACAGTTTGTATGCATTTGTTCGCTGATTTCTTTGTACACTGGACCGCCTCTGTGGTCTAGTTGACAGAGGGCCCGGGTCGTGTCCCGGGGCTACCAGATTTTCTGAGAAATAATGATTCTGTAACGGGGTCCCCTCAGCCTCGTGAGGATAACTGAGGCGCTATTTCAAGGAAATAGAGGCTCCGGTCTAGAAACCCGAGAGTAACGGCCGTGAGGATCCGTTGCGTTGACCACGCGACACTCTCTATCCGCAAAAGAGGGCACTAACTTCGCGGACAAGCGGCAGTCGCTCGGTCGGTATAGTTCCCTTGCAGACTACAGGCCACGAAGTTTCTTTGTTTGTACATTGATAAAAATGTTAATTTACCGTAAGATTTCTTCAAATTGGCCAAAGTTAACACCCAAAAATGCACACAAGGCAACTCATACTAATCGTATGTTAAACATATATAGCTCAGTAAAAGACACTGTTGACTGAGTGACTGCAGTGCCATCTGCTTCAGAGGCAGGAACTACTCATATCTTCTTTGCTATCGCCTGGAGACCTAACCTGGTACCTATCTCCAATTATTCTTCCTCGGACATAAAGCGACAATAACGCTAGGCTGGCCACTCACAACAACATTTAAATAACCAACATTATTTCCATTTGTATTTATAGCACTGTGCTCACTTTACGACACGCACATGAAACGTCACGTGAGCCATTATCTCATGTCTACACTAGAACACTTGTTTTCAGTATAAATGTTGTAATCCAATTACAAGAATCTTCCGACTCTATTACGAAGCATCTCTATAAACTACTACCATATTTACAACCAACAAGGTAGCGCAGTTGGTTCAGGCACTATGTTACAAACCAAAACGTTGCGGGTTGGAATTCCGATGAGGTGGATTTTTCAGTTTATCTAATCCTTCCAGCTGCATTATGGCCCTAGGGGCGACTCAGCCTCTAAAAGAAACGAGTATTAGAATTTCTTCCTGGGTGTAAAGAACGGCCGGCGTGTGAGGCTGACAATCTCACTGCCATCTATGATCCGATTGTCTAAAACATGTGGGAGACTCGACGTCTCACAACCCTATGGTCCTCCAAGTCCTGTTACAGGGACAGCTTTTTTTCTTCATTTTTATTAGGTTTTACTCTTCACAGTGCCCCGTAGATCTTGATTGGCAAATACAGAAATGCAGATCATAAGAGAGGCCATTAGGGCCCAAATGATCCAAGAAGACCGAAGTCTGTCACTGTGAGATTTTTTAGTTTTATTCAAAAGGAATGGCAGGTATCTGTGACGTTGCAAAAATAATGAAACAAAATGTTTCCATCGATTTAACAGGAGGTTTAATTCGAGATAAAATAAGATGGAGGAAGATTAAAGTAGAGCTTGAAATATTAATCGCTTGTCTGTATATACATCAGCTCCATTTAAGTGCCCTGAGACAGCGAATTTGCGCTGCTGCCGTCACTTCTTTCAATTCGCTTTTTAATTTAATGTAGGCCTCTCTTAAGTCGAGGAGAAGAGCAGAGCAGAAGAAATGAGAACGTCGAAACGAGGTGCATAAATTAATAAAGAAACAAATGAAACACGTCATAAATTGCATAGAAACAGCAAGAAAGAGAATGGGCGATAATAATCAGACACAAAGGCTAATGCAAAAGTAGAATACGACTTTCTATAATCGTGCATACAGAATACGGTGCACGCCGTAGCTCAGTCAGTTGAGACAATATGTCACAAGTCGGAAGGGCGCGGGCTCGGTTCCCGATAAGGTCATTAGAGTTTTCGATTTACCTAATCCTTCCAGTCGCACTATGTCCCTGGGGTCCACTCAGTTTCTGACAGAAATGAGTACCAGGAATCTTCCTGGGGATAAAGCGCGGCCGGAGCATAAGTTTCACAACCTCACCGCCATCTCTGAGCCGATTGTCTAGAAAGTGTGGGAGCCTCGACGTCTCACAACCCTATGGACCTCCGCGACTTGTTACACGGAACGCTTTTTAACTTTTTCCTTCTATCAGAATGTAGACTGCATAGAGTCGGATGGTAGAATTATGATTGATGAATTGGATGGAAGCTCTCGTTTCCTAAGCGAGGTACTATCGCGACACTTGCCTCGAGGGATTGAAGAAAACCACGAAAATATGAATCATGAAAACCAGTTCACCGGCAGAGATTCGGCGAGGACACCCTTTAAGTACAAGTTTAGAGCGTTACGGCTACGCCAGATCGCTCGGCATCTGTTTCCCTTCTCCGCGTATGCCGTGCATTGTAAGTCAAGCAGGAGCTTGGACAATATTTTCGATAATGGACAATTAATAGGTGAGTCCTACAGTTAGTTCGTCCCTTCGTTAGTAATAAACCACTGTCAATTAGTTACTTGCTTTGTTTCCTAATGATAATATTTCCAGTCCACTTTGTAGCCTGCTGTGCTGTTGTAGCTATCTGTCTACCTCACCATGGCTCCACAGCCCTTTAAACCGTGGTCGCTTTTTCAGTTTCTTAATTTTATATACAGTCGGTACGACTCCTTGGACGGGAGATCAGCCCGTCGGAAGGACGCCACATACACACAGAAAAAAACAAGCACAGAATCACACAGATATTCATATTTCGAGTGAGGTTCGAACTCACGATCCATTGTTCGAGTGGGTAAAGACTTTTCATGCCTTAGACAGCGCGACCACTGTGATCGGTCTGTAGTATTATAGAGATGGCCATAACTGTTACGCCCAGAAATTTAGGACTGTCTTAAAGTTTCATTTATCATATTCAATCTGTCTTCTACTGGTTATGTTGAAAGTCCAGTTTTCGTGTCCATATTCTGACGTCAAGATTACTGTAACTGGTAAAATTTTAGCAATGTTCCCCTCTTAAT